CATTCTGTGTCTGGGAGTGGCCGGCCCCTCATCAGACACCTGTTCCCGGAGCCTGGACTTCCCCCTTAACCCCAGTGTCCCAGAGATCTGTAAATCATTCACCTTGGCCTCCTCCCTGCCCTGTTCCTCTCATGCACCACATTGCCCTTCCTCTCGGGGTTCGGGGGTGGTGGTGGTGGGGCACAGGTGTGCACAAAAGGTTAACAGGGAGGGTACAGGCTTGAGTTCCGTCCAGAGCTGCCACTGGAACCCAGGGCTCCTGACTGCCACTGAAAATACAGTTTCCAAGGATGGGGAGGGGCTCCCAAGGCCCCACCCCTGGCTGAGGAGCTATGGGCACTTGATGTCTGCTGGGGAAAGGAGTCGTTTTTGTTTGGTGTGGCCACTGGTAGGTTGCCCGTGCTCCGGCAGATGACCCCACCCCCATGCACATGCAAACAGCACCAAGTGGATTCTGGGTTAGAGGGGAAGATGAAGAGCAGGGAGGGGCCGCAGATGAAGTTGGGAAGGAGAAGAGAGCACCCAGGGGAGCTGGAGGAGGGCATAGGGGTGGATACGGTCAAAATCCATTATATATGTATGAAGTTCTCACAGAGTAAATAAAGCTAATTTTTAAAAAATAGAGTTCAGGGGCTGGGCTGGCGTGTAGTTCAACAGAGTGCTGTCTTAGCATGCACAAAACCCCGGGTTCAGTTCTCAGCGCTGCATAATCCAGATGTTGTGGTGCACCTGTAATCCTAGTACTTGGAGGTGGAGACAGGAGGATAAGGAGTTGAAAGTCACCCTCAGCTGCGTCATGGGTTCAAGGCTAGCTTGGGCCAGAGACCCTATCTTTAAAATAAGTCAACAGCCGGGCGGTGGTGGCGCACGCCTTTAATCCCAGCACTGGGAGGCAGAGGCAGGTGGATCTTTGTGAGTTCGAGGCCAGCCTGGTCTACAGAGCGAGACCCAGGCAAGGAGCAAGGCTACACAAAGAAATCCTGTCTCGAAAAAAACCAAAATAAATAAATAAATAATAAAATAAAAATTAAAAACCCAGGCGTGGTGAGGCAGGCCTGTAACCCTACCTACAAGGGGCTGAGGCAGGAATTTACAACTTCAAAAATTGCCTGGGCTACAAAGTGAATCCGGGGTTTACCTAAGAAACTCTATCTCAAAGTTTAAAAAGTACAAAAAGGACTGAGGGAATATGTCCTCAGGGTTGAATGCTTGTCTATGATGGCTGAAGCCCTGGAGTCAACCTCCAGTCACACACACACACACACACACACACACACACACACACAGATAATGCAATGGCCATCCGGACACAGTAAAGCTGGAAGCCCTCTAAAATCACTCTCCTTTCTATGGCTTCTCACCTCCAGTTGCCTTCCTGGAGGAGGGAGCTTCTGTGGTTGGGCTCCACCTTATTTTTTGAAGTAGGGTTTCTCACTGAATCCGGAGCTCACCATTTCAGCTAGACTGACTGGCCAGTGAGCCCCCCAGGGATTCTCTAGTCTCCACCCTCCACCCCTAAAGGTAGGATTACAGGGGAGGGAGCCGCCATAACTGGCTTTTACATGGGTTCCAGGGATCTGAACTTAGTTCCTCATGCTTGTGTAGCGATCAGTTTCCCCACTGAGCCATCCCCCCAGCCTGGTAGCAGGCTTTTCCTATAGTATCCCATGCCTTGCTCCCTTACACACGTCTTAACAGTTGCTTAGTGCTCCTCTTCATGGGCGTTCTGTATCTTAGTTCACCAGATCCCTACTCATAGACATGGACATTGTTTTAGTCTTGTGCTATTAGTGACATTCACTGCTGTGGGCAGTTCTCTGTGAGATTATTTCCTAGGGGTGGAACTTATGGCCCAAAGCTCTGTAAAGCCAGGCTACGTGATGCTTAGTTGGCTCCTGGGAAGGTGCTCCAGTTAGTGCTCACTCTGGACAATGTGTAGGAGTCCCCAGTTTCTGGGCTATACAGGGACTCGAACATTTTGTTCATCATGGTTGGATGTTTTCTTAGCAATCAATCTGTACTCTTTAAGCAGCTGGGCTAGATAGAAGTTGGCTGGTATGTTCCTAATCCTATCAACCCCTCTCCAGGGCTATGGACTAGGGTTCCACTGACCCTGGCAGGGACAGAGGTACTGCAGTGCATCCAACACCCTGTCCCTGTCTGGTCCCCAATCTGGAGATCTTGGTTCATATCATCACCAGGGTGATGACCTCACTGAGAGCAGCTTTCTGTGCCCTGGCTCCCAGCTGTAAATGACTGTTGTGGGTCCCTACTGCCCACCACAAGGGGACAGGGGCAGGGAGTGGGGAGAGACAGAGAAGGTGAGCAAGCGAGGTACTAAGAGAACAGCTGCCTTCATGCCTGGGCCTGGGCTCCTGCAAGCAGAGCCCCATCTGCTGCTCAGCCTCGCCTCTTGGAGATCGATAGGAGTAGTCTTAGCATCTAAAAGTTCCAGTCCGAGGCTTTCCAGTCTGCCCTTGCCATGGTCTGACCCTTCTCCATTCCAGGGAATGGACATAGAGGCATGGTCTACTCTGTGAGTTTCTGTTGCCAACACTTAGGATATCGGGCAGCTCAGTGGTCCCTAAGAATGGTGAGATGCGGAGTTGTGAGTTGGAGGCAGCAGAGAAGGCTCTAGACTAGAGGACATGGCATTAGCACATGTGTACCCACTTGTCTCTCGTGACCCTGACTCTGCGGGGAGATTGGACTAGATGTAGCAGGAGTATCCAACCTTTGACATTATTTCACTAAGTGGTAATGTGCAGGCCTGCGTTCATAGCTATCGTGGAAGAACACTTGTGGCCCACAGCTGCAATTGGACAGGCCTGGAAGAACTCACAGGCCTCTTATTTAGACCTCCAGCTGCCACATGACTACCTCAAACCATGGTCTCTTCATCTGAAGCTGGGCAGGGGACGGAAATCCCAGGACTCCTTCTGGCTCTAGCTAGAGATCCCAGTGGGCTGTGGGTTCAAAGCCCAGTGAGGCTGTGGTGGTAGTAGCCTCAGGCAGAGCTGTTTCTGAGCCAAGATTGACTTTTCTAGGTCAAGGAGGAGCCCCATCTGGAGCCAAGGCCTCAGCAGCCTCTCCCTCAGCCCCTCCTCTAACCATGCCTGGCACAGGACTGCAGGCCATCCTGTGCTATGTCTCTGCTGTCAGGTGGTACTGTGAGTTTAGTACATATGGAAGTGGCCAGTGTGGTTCCGCTGCTCCGGCAGAAAACCCAGGGAGAAGCCGCCTAGGAACAGCTGTTGTCTCCCATTCCCCCACAGAACCACTTGGCTGGAGAAGAGCCCAGGGCTGTCCTGCCAAGTCGTGTGGGATGGATGGGTGGAGGCAGGCCAGATGCAGGTCTTTAGTGCAAGGGCATGGGGGGACAGGCTTAGCCAAGGCCCAGAGCAGGGTGGCAGAGGCCAGGCTGTTTGTAGGCACGTGGGTGGCAGGGGAGATCCAGGGTTATCCCAGGATTGGTCACGCCCTGGTGTGTGCATGCCTGCTGTCAGCATGCACCTTCTAGTTTAACCATGTGTTCAGCTTCTTACAGAGAAAGCTGGTGCTCATCCAGGCCCCACAGAGTAACACTCTCCCCAGACAGCCCTCTACGCTCGGTTCCAAAGACAACCCTGATGTTAATAACCTCAGATGGCCCTTAAGCCCAGTTCCTGGCCCAGGCATCACCACCTAGAAGCCAAGTCACCGCCCTCTTGTCCTGGGACATGGCAGTCCTTCCTGCCCCTCTTATTCCTGCCCTTAGTCTGCTCTCCACACAGCTGTCAGAAGAAAAACATGGAAGCCTGCAACAGACAGCATGTCCCCTCTGCTTAGAGCCTTGCTGTGGCTCCCATTCCAGACAGTGAACCCTAAGCCCTTTCCCTGACATCTGCCCGGTCCCCTCTCTGCTCCTTGTCCCACACGCTCCCTCACTCAACCTCAGACAGGTCTCCACCTCGAGGCCTTTGCACTCCGCGTTCACTCCTCCAGATTCTGTTTCTCTAGGAAGTGCGCATGCTCTTTCTCTCTCGGTTAGGGTTCAAGAGCCATTGTGTTGAATGTTTGACTTTTTCTTTTCTTTTTTTTAACAGGGTCCCACTATGTCACCCAGGCTGGTCTAGAATTACTAGATTCGAGTGACCCAACCGAGCAGCAGGGACTATCGATACCACTGCCCCCTTACTCAGCCAGCACCACTCTGTTTGAAATTCCCCCGCCTTCCCGCTGCCGCCACATTCTTAGGCTCCCTGTCTTCTTTCTTTTCCTCAAAATAATTGCCAGTGAACAAAGCCAGTGCTTTCCATTTTTATTTTCTTTTTGTCTGCCTCCTTCCCTGAGCATCCAAGCATGGACTTTTCATTTTTTTTTTTTTCCTCTGCCCACCCCAGTGTGTAGCTTGAGGCAGGGACTTGGTTTGTTGAGTGGAATGAGCTGAGTCACTGCATCTCTGGGCCTGCACATAGGAGGGTGTGTGGACAGCTCAGGTAGATCAGCCCCTGGCTCCTGGTGCAACCCTAGAGCAGGGCTTGGTGTCCTGAATGTCCTTCTGGGTACCCAGCAGACCCTAGGGTCCACCAGCAGCCCTGGGCCTTTCAGTCTTTGGGCTAGCAGTCGGTAGAATTGGGGAGCCCCCCCCCCAAGCTCAGGGTACTTCCAAATCCTGTTTTTCTTCCACTATGGTCTTCCCTGTGCATGAGGGAGGAGTGTCTGGCAACCCCCTTTAGTCCCAGTCCACCCTCACCAGCCAGGAGTCCCCTTCATGACAGCAGTGTTCAGACTCACGCTCTGGGGACCCTTGAGTCAAAACCACCTGGAGAGTTTGTTACCACACAGCACTGAGGCCTTCTGAGTGAACAGTTGGGGATCTCCAGAAGCCTCACTTTTCACAGCTGACGTAGCTAGCCTCAAGTCGCATCCCAGCGATCAGCTCCCTGCCGGGGGGACTCCTGGGCCTCTCTGGGCATTCCGAGGCACTCACCTCCCCTCTTGCCCCTTCTGCTCCTCAGGTAAGACTCGGACCAAGGACAAGTACCGTGTGGTCTACACAGACCACCAGCGCCTGGAGCTGGAAAAGGAGTTTCACTACAGCCGCTACATCACCATCCGGCGCAAGTCAGAGTTGGCTGTTAACTTGGGGCTCACAGAGCGGCAGGTACGTAGGTCCTCCACCTCGGCCCAAGTAGCAGGGCCCAGAGTTGGGCTTTCAGGATGCCGTGCAGAGGCAGGGCTCACAAAAAGTGGACAGAGAGGCTGTGTCCTGACGACTGACACAGCACCACACACTGGACCACTGCCATACTGGCAACCAAGCCCAACATGACTGCGCGCGCACACTCGCGCGCGTGCACGCATACACACACACACACACACACAGGCTACAGGGGGCAGTAGGTGCTAGTCAGTGCTATTCAGACACAAGTGCTAAGGGGTAGTCACAGGACACAGGGGCTCACACACACACACACACACACACACACACACACACACACACACACAGGCTACAGGGGCCAGTAGGTGCTATTCAGTGCTATTCAGACCCAAGTGCTAAGGGGTAGTCACAGGACACAGGGGCTCTGGAGTAATGGCGCCTTGGAAAGGGGAAGAAGGAGGTTACAGAAAAAGGTGTCTAGGGCACAGGGAGAATGTGTTTTAGTCCCTGAGGTCTGGTGGCTGGAGCAGGAAGTGGACCGTGGAGACCACCTCCCCGGACCCAACTTGCTCCATAAAGTCTGTGCAATCCCACAGGTAAAAATCTGGTTCCAGAACCGTCGGGCCAAGGAGCGCAAAGTCAACAAGAAGAAGCAGCAGCAGCAGCAGCAGCAGCAGCAGCAGCCGCAGCCGCCGATGCCTCCCTCACAGCTGCCCCTGCCCTTGGATGACAACCCCACACCATCAGGGCCACCCCTGGGTAGTCTGTGCTCCACCAGTGCAGGCCTTCTGGGTACCCCCTCCCCAGTGCCCGTCAAAGAGGAGTTTCTATCCTAGACCCTTCCAGCCTGGGGCCCAGGGATCTAGGGACTGGAATGCTGGGCACCTGGCTTTGCGGGAGCCCAAGAAGCCGGTTCTGAGTTCCAGCCCTGCTGCTGACCTTTGGGGTCGTCACTGTGGACAAATAGCCTACCTAGGAAAAGTCGCTTGCCAACTCCCTGCCTCCCTTGGCTGGTTGATGTGATGAGCCTGCTGGGCAAGGACCTCTTCCAGCTCCTGTGTCCCAGGCCATGGGGTGATGGGGAGCCACAGCGAAGAGGTCTCAGTCACTTGAAGACACCTTAAGATCCAGAGGGCTCGCTCTACAAGCTGTCAAGACAAGGCTGAGGCTCCACCTCCTCCTCCAGGGGCCTCCAGAGTGAGGTGGGAGGCTGCTGCATGGACCAGATTGGCCCTGGAGAGGAGTCAGTGTTGAGAGACGATGGTACACACGGGTCTAGACTCACATGTGAAGCGTCAGGGTGATGTCAGTCCCACCTGTCTCCACCTGCCCCTAGCATCCCATGCTCCCATGCTCTGTCCCTCCCCAGCCTGGAGGTGGCCACAAAGCCATCAGGACCAGGCCTGAGGTAAAGGTTGGGTAATCGGTCACTGCTCTTGAGATAGAACTTGTCTCCTCCCTAGCACTGCAGGAAGGCCTGTGGATGGAAGAGAAGCTTCTCAGGATAGACTCAGAGTCCACTACCTACCTGCCCATGCCCACCTCCCCAAGGCGGTCCATCACACCTAGGGAGCCCCCAGACCCTGGGGAACCCACAGCTGCACAGGGGTTAAGTAGAATGGAATCTCTTGGATGCAGGTTCAGGAATAAGTTTTTCCTTTTTAAACAATTTATAAAAAATCCTACATAGCATTAAAGGAATTTTTAAAAAAGTTTAATCGCCATCATCCTTTCCTCATGGTTGTGTGTCTCCCTTCCATTCTGTAATTCCTCCAAGAAAGTCACCTTTCAAACATGGCCGATCAAACAGGACCCTGCCAAGGCAGGCCTGAGGCTGAAGGAATGCCAGTCTGTGTGAGCAGTGGCTCCAGACTCTACCCATCAGCCTTCCCGTCCTCCTGGCGTTTTCAGTTCGGCCTTCTCTTTCAACATTATCGTTCAGATTGCACTCTATGTACCAGGCATGGCAGGGCCTGGGAAGCATGCAGCCTCCCCCACCCCGCCCCCGGAAGTGCCTGGCCCACGGGGGAAGAGTGCCACAGGCATAGTACGGTTAACCTAAGAAGGTAAGGGCCAGTCAGAACTTCGCTCTGGACATGGCAAGAACCAGCGTGTGTGGAGATGGAATGCAGAGCCGGCTCCTGGCTCATCAGGAGGCCTAGAAGGCTTCCTGGAGAAGGCGGTGCTTGAACTAACTTATATGCGATGGTCCGATCCAGAAGGGAAAGAAGAGCAACAGTGGGAACTTAGAGTGTGTTTCGAGCTTCTGGGAGGAGAGGCTGCTCTCACCTTCTTCCCAGAGGTGGGCAGAAGTCAGCTACCTAGGACCTTGTCTGCCCAGAGGGCTCTGGTGCCAGCTGCTTGCCCCTCTGTTTACTGTTCTGGGAGGTGGCTAGGTCATAAAAGTGTGTTCAGCCTGCCGCCCTTTGCTCCTGGGCCTGGGATAAGAGCGCACAGGTGTTCCCAGCCCCAGCACACCAGCCTCTTCTCGCCTGCTGGCCACTGGGGAGATAGATAGCAGGGCCTCTCTGTAGCAGTTGACATCTGAGCCACAGGAACCAGGTGGCACCAGAAGAATGGAGTAGGGAAAGGCTGGTGGCTTTCTGATCCACATGACCCTAGGGTAACTACTTCCCCTCTCTGGGCCTCCATTTCCTGCTCCGGTCCAATTGTTTTGGGTGTAAATGGAATTTATGCAGCAAATGCCTTTACCTGCTGAGCCATTCACTGGCCAGGCTGGCCTGAAACTCACCTTATAATCTAGCCTGGCCTTGAAAGCATGGTGATCTTACCTCAGCCTCCGGAATGCTGGGATTACAGGCATCAGCTAATGCTCTCCCAGTGTTCCTGAAACCCAGGACACTGACATCAGCACTTGTGACCCCCCCCCCCCCCCACACACACACACACACACATGAGAGTTCTGGAAACTTGGCTGAAGAGTCATGCCCTTTTCCTGACTGAGGGGAGCATCAGGTTTTGGAGTTAAGTATGACAGTCAAGTGTACACTGAGCTCCAATGTGACCGCCTCCAGGTTATGAGAGTTGGAAGCTAAGGTGTTTAGCCTCTCTGGGTCCCCTGGTCTGTCAAAGGGAGCTAGAGTAGCTATTCTTGGGACTGAGGAGGATAAGTCCAGCCCATGCTTTGCACCCCACTTGAGATACTTGCATGTCTGGCTGCAGTCCCAATTACCGTAGCCCTGAGGTCAGTTGGCATGAAGAGATGAGGTCCTGCTCTAGAAGACCTCTACCCAGCAGGCAGTGGGGCTGCAGTAGTCACTCACATGGGGGCTCAGGAGGTTGGGTGCTGAGCACCTGTCCATTGGCATTTGAAAGAGACGCCTGTATATGTTTACAAGCATCTTTCTGTCACCTAAAAGCATCCCATTGGAGGGCTGGGGATATAGCTTAGATGGTAGAGATGCACAAAGCCCTGGGTTCAACCTCCAGGACTGTGAAAAACTGGGTCTGGTGGCACATGCCTGTAATCCCAGCACTTGATTGGTGGAGGCAGGAAGATCAAAAATTCAAAGTCATCCTTGGCTACATAGTAAGTTCAAGGCCAGGCTGGACTACCTGACACCTTGTCCAGGAAAAAAAAAAAAAAAGTTCCAGGAGAGGTTGAGGCATGTAGCAGTGACTGAGGAAAGGGACCTCCTCAGTTGCATCAGACCCTACAACCATCCCAGAGATGGAGGTATCCAAGCTATCCTCTAGGGACAGCAGATGCTGTTTTGTAGAGGGGAGCTGTACATGCCCTTCTGCTGGGTGACAGGTCCGAGCTGCTGCTGGGGATCTAGGGTCCAATAGTAGACCTGGCTTGGGCTGGCCCCCTAAGACACAAAACTTGGTCAAGAGCACTAGCAAATGAGAACAGAACACAGCAGCACTGTTTTGTATATAGTTTCCTTGGGTCCAAAGGACCCTAGCTCCTCGCTGAGAACCCCCATCCCGTGGAAGAACTAAGCCACTATCAATTGCCAAAAGTGTGGTGTGAGCTATCAGGCCCCCCAGAACATTCTAGAGAGAGACTCCAGGTTGGAAGCTCAGTGCCTTGGGAGAGGTGGGCTCCAGCAGCTGAGGGGTTGTGACAGCAGAAACTTGGAGGAGGTCTGGCTCTGGGATGGGGAGACTCAGACTGGCAGCCCACCAGAGTGGCCCTGGAGGGCAATCCCGGCCTGCTGGGCTGTTCTAGAAGGGCATCCTCCTCACTGAACCAGATGGACTGGCAGTCTGGAGCCTCACTTTTCACAGTCACCACACTCCTCCTGTAACAAAACACATGCCCGACGGTGACAAAATCCGAACATTGAAGCAAATTAAAAATGTTTATTTATATGCATTTAAAAATATCTCCCTATATTATAAAGGAAGTACATTTCCATCTAACGCTCTCCTTAAATCAGCACACATCTCCATTACACTTCAGGCTTGTGGTGAGACCTGGAGACACGGAAAGGGCGGGGAAGGAAAGGGGAGAGGGAGAGGATTTAAGGAGTGCCAGCATCCAAGCCCCTTAGGATGGGAGACAGGGGATAGTCAAGCATATTTGGTCACTGGACCCTTGGCTATTGTGTGATTGCAAAGTTGGGGCTTCAGGGCTTAGAATGACTGACGTGGGCAACCTTTGCCAGAAATCTTAGCGTTTTGCTTTTTTCCCACCCAAGGCTGGCAACAGGGAGATGCGGGCAGAGAGGTGATCAGGAAGTGTAGCCTGGGTGGGCTCACATCTGATATTCCAGGTGTAGCTCTGCCCCACCCTAACTGAGCGGTTTTTGCAAGTCCTTCCCTCTCTGGGCCTCAGTTTCCCCATCTGGAAAGTATGGACCCAGCCCACCTGCAGACCATACCCTCAGTGACTGTCACCAAAGCTCAGTGGTCATCGTACTTGCTTAAGGAAGGCTAAGTTTCAGTCTTGCCCCCAACCCTCAACCAGGTGCTACTATGCAGGGGCCAATCTCCTGGGATCCAGAGTCAGCTGCCTCACCCTAGGCCCTGTTCCCAGGGTCCTCTGGACCTTCCAAAGGCCTGACAGTTTCCAGTGTCAAAGGCAGAGTAGGAGGAGGGAGGGAGACCTGCATGAGCCTCCTTCCTGAGACCCAGGCCTCTGCTCCTCCCCAGGCAGGGCCAAGGGCCCTCCAGGCTTATTCCCAAAGCCGGGAGATTCTCTGAGTTCTTGGGCACATGGCATCCTTCTTCTGAGAAAGTTTCCTTGTGCATAAAATTTGATCTACACTTACTTGCCTTCTGGGACTGTTGGGAAGAATTAATAATCGAATGCTGGACATGAGCATCCATCATAATACATCAGGGCTCAGGAAATGCCCTTTGCCCATCTTGGCCTCCTGAGGCTCCTAGGGGCAGAAGCAGCTGGGGGAAGCTCCTTCCTCCCAAGTCAGGGAAGCCTTGACTGGCTAGACTCCAGTAGGAGTAGCTCAGAGGATGGGGAGGAACCACCCAGCTCAGGAACTCTGGAGCCCTCCCCTGCTCAAACCCCAGAGGTCAGAGCAGACCTTATCCTGCTGCCTCCTGAAGGCCTCCACTTGCTGTAGACAGCAAGCATGTGGATGATGAATGTCTGAAGCAGGCACCTTGGGAGGGCACGGATTTGCCATGCCTGGTTTCCCACAGAGGCTCAACCCCGCAAACTAGTGCACTGGTTGCTCAGTTACTCCAGCTGCTGTTTCCCCACCCTAGCAAAAGGCTCACAAGATGCCCAGGCGCCGGGAGAGCTCAGCCAGATACCTGCTGATTGGTGGCCCTTGTCGCAGATAAAATGTGTGGCCCCGAGGCCTTGGTGCTGGTAGACAGGAACTTGGTTTGTCATTCCATCACAAGCCACCACAACAGGG